ATCTGTGTCTCACAAAAAGGGTTTGTAGCGAGAGAAGACCAAGTGCTTCAGTCCCACAGAGCTGCCATTGCACCCCAAAAATGTTGTCTGGGTGTTTTTATCCAAAATTGCTTAATTCGTGTAGAAAGCACCACTCAGGTGAGCTGATTTATGTGTGGTGTTTCCTGCACTGTCTCTGTGGTTTCAACTTGAAAGGGGAAAGTAATTAGATTTTATAACGTGGCTGCCTTTAATTAGAAGGTTGGACTTATGGCTTTTGAATAAATACATTGATTTTTGTTGCCCGTGCACTGCAGTGGGTACAGTGCTGATCAAGGTGTGAGGGCTTCCCATCTCTGATACCGTTTTCTGCCTCGAAAAAATAGTTTTTAATTATTTTTAATATTAATTTTTAATTCTTTTTGCAGTTATAAAGGAAAAAAACCAGCCAATATTATCCTTCCACGCCAGCCTTGATTACCTGTTCAGGGCTGTGATTTGCAGCATGAAGCACCATTATATTATAAATTCACTTTTATTTCTCCCCCTCGTGCTTTGTTTTCTTTCCCAACCCGTTTCACATCTTGGATGTTTGAACCTTTTAGGCTTTGAAGTGTTTTTTGACATTCTGGACACGCTTTTCCTGCAGAGCCTTCTGGGCTCTCCTGCCCCCAAATTGTGGTGGTGGCACATCTCCCTCTGGGTTCCTGAGGGGCTGTGGGTGAGGTGGGCTCTGCTGCCTCTAGAGGAGGTGTTGATCAGAGTGGCATGAACATTTTTGGCCTAATTTTGGGTTCCTTTCACAGCCCACGGAGCAATGGGGGGGTTCCTCACCCCAGGCAGTGAGAGGTGTCTTGGCTTGGTGTCCAAGAGGAGCTGAGGTTGACTTAGAACAGCAAAACCACCTCTGGGAATTCCCCCTGGAGCACTTTGGGTTCTTCTGGAGGCAGAGAAGCATCATTCCTGTTGTTGTCTCCAGAACTGCTCCGGGTTAATGAAAAATCAGGAAAGGAATCCTAAGAAATGTCCATCAGGATCCACATTCCCCCATGGAATGGAGTCCTGAAGGTGATGGAATTCACTTATTTTAGGGTTGTAGCTGCAGCTGAGGATGAGCAGTGGTGGATGATCTTTAAGGTCCCTTCCACCCCAAACCATTCCATGATATGAATCCATTCCATGATGTGACGTAGCAGACCCCTCCCATCCCGATTTTCGAAGCTCTGAAGGTGGAACAACCAGTACCTGTCCTTGCAGGATTTTGCTTTAAAATGCTGCTTGACACGTGTGCAAACATCTCTTCAGCCTTCCCGAGGTATGGGAATTCCAGGAACTGCTGCTTTCCATGGATTTTTCCTTTGCTTGGTGTTTTCAGGACTCGCATTGCCAAACCCTGGGTGCTGGAGCTCATCCCTCCTGCCCCTGGAACCGTCATCTCCATCCTCATCTCTCTCCCTTTCCCACCTCAGATGTCTCCACACAGGCAGAAATTGTCTCCTTGGGGAAGATAATTCTTCAGGGATTCTCTCCTTGGTCAAACCAGGCCTGAAAATACATTTTTTTCTGCATTACTCAACTGAAGATATTTGACTGAAGTAATTTCTTGCTGCATTTGCCCTTTTTACCCTCACTCACGTCCCCCCTCATATTTAAATGTCCTGGTTCCACCAGGATCTGCAAATATCAGAACTGAGTGATTTTATAACCACAGATTTGGGGTTATTTTTGTCTTCATTTGCTTTCTTGTGCTGTCTGGTGGGTTTTTATGGGATCACAGCATGGTTTGGGTCGAAAGGGACCTTAAAGCCCATCCAGTTCCAACCCCAACACCTTCCACTATCCCAGGTTGCTCCAGCCTGGCCTTGGACGCTCCCAGGGATCCAGGGGCAGCCACAGCTTCTCTGGGCAACCCATGCCAGTCTTTCACCACCCTCATCATAAAACATTCCTTAAATCCTGTCTTAAAACCTCCCCTCATTTAGTTTTTCTCCAGATTTTTAGTGTAAGTTCTTCCTACTTAACCTTTTTGACTTTCCTATTAGAGCAGCACTTCTGGGGGCTGTCAAAGTGCCTCCCAAATCCCCAAAAAGAGAGGGAGATAAGGCACAAAATGTATATATATATACCCTTTTTTTTTGTTCCCTCTGGGTAAATCACACCCAGCTCTGAGTTCTTGCCTTGTGCTTCCCTTTCTGTCTCCACTGCTCAGAGCAGCCCCCAGCTCCCTAACGAAGGAATAATTAAAGTGAGATCCTTTATTCCTCTCATCTGAAGGTCCTTCTCTGAAGAAGAGATCAAGTCACTCCCAGGGAAAATCAGAATTTCATTTCGAATTCACCTGGCCACCTTTTGAAAAAGGTTTTTTTGAGTGCAGCAGGCCTTGGGTTACAGGTGAACATTAACATTTAAATGGAGGAGGGTATTAACAGCCCTCAGAGGAGCTGATTGCCTTTCCTGAGAGGTTTTTTTTTTCCCCTAAGTGAGAAAGCTTCTTAATTTTTATTCTCTTTCTCCGAGTATAGAGTTCAAGAGACCATTTTTCATATATATATTTATATATATATATATGTGCTCAAAATTCCTCCTTCCAAAATGGGTTCTTTGCTGGCAATTTGATATTTTCTTTTAAAAGTGCTGTTTAAAAACCAAACTGGTTTGTGGCTCAGTTGGCTTTTATTCAGCTTCGGTGTGGGATTTTTTTTTCCTGCCCCTGGGAAGCATTTCCACCAGGGATATTCACCTTTCCCTGGTGCTCTTAGCACAGAACTGTTCTTCGTGCCAGGGTGGATCTTCCTGGGCCAATTCCAGGAGGAAAAGTGCATTTTGAGCTTTGAGTTAAGTTAGGTTTGTCCTGAAAAAAATGCCCAAAAAATTCAAGGCACCTTTGAACCCAATCCCACCATCAGTGGAACAGATCACAGATGTCAAGGTCGGGACGTGAAGGGTGGATTTTATTATTAAAAAATAACAAATCTTGGTCATCCAAGCCATCAAAACTAGTTGGCCATCCTGTATGAGCAGCATATTAATGACTTTGGATATTTTAGGCAGCCTTTAACTCCCCCAAAATAAGGCCATCAACGCTAAAGCTGAGCTTAAGTGGAGAGTTTGACCAGGGATTTAAGATCCTAAAGAGCCAAAGGTTTTGGAGCCAGATTAATGCTTCCTTGCCCTTGTGAAACAGTACTTTATTTCCATAGGAAATGAGGAGAGGTGCTCCAGAAGGACCTGCCCCAGGTTCAGGGTATAAAACCTCTCCTATCAGATCGACTCAACAAGTCCCATCGATGCTTTTCGGCAAAATATAAATAAAATTACAAATGAGTGAATAAACACACAAGCACAAAGATTTCCCTGGTGAGTTCCCAGGTCACTTTGTTCCCATCAGCTGCATTTCTGACTTCTTAGAGTCCTTGGAATGGTTTAGGTTGGAAAAGACCTTAAAGCTTATCTATTCCCACCCCTGCTATGGGCAGGGACACCTTCCACTATCCCAGCTTGCTCCAAGCCCTGTCCAACCTCAGACATTTCAAACTCAGGTGAATACATTTGTAAATTCAGCTTTAATCTCTTCTCTTCTCACCCCAAATATCCCATTTTGGAGCCCTGGAAGCTCTTACTGCCCAGGCTGGTGACCTGTGTAGAGTAAATCAGCTTCCATGCGCCCACTTTAAAGCCAAAAGAAAGCTTGGGAAGCTAAATTTCCTCTTTGGTTAGGTGTGCTAATCCCATATTATTATTTATTAACCTGTTTGTCAGATGATGGAAGGAGCTCCTGATGAATATTAATTCTCCTCCCTGGTTTTAAAAGCTCACCTTTATAAAAAACAACCAAAGGATTTCACTGAGCAGATCCCCCTCACCCGGTGTCCATTTAGTCCCCCCCATCCCATCCTTGCTTCCCACAACCTCCCCCTGATAATCAAAGGAGCCTAAATTAAAAAAAATCACAGAGCAAGAGGCTCATCCCACCCCCTTTCTTTCATATTTCATTATTTGATAACATCAAAAAATGAGTCCATCGGAGCTGCTTGGGCGAAGGCAAACAGGAGTGGGTCTGATCAATATTTATTAATACTTTCAAAGACAAGGGAGGCAAAGTCGAGCAGACTCGGTAATGGAGTGAATAATTACTCATGCAAATAGGGTTTGGCCCCAGGCAGTGCCAAGCCAAGGCAGCAGGTTTTTAATTGCACCCAATTAAAAATGCAGCACCTTTCGCTCTCGCGCTCTCTTTCTCTCTCCCGCTGTCTCGTTTTTATTTTAGAGGAAGTTTTTAATTAAAAAATAATCTGATCTCGGGAAGAGTGGCAGGTGAATCCTGTGGTTGTTAGGGGCAGAATTATTCTTCAGTTGGCTGAGATTTGGGAGAGGTGAGAAGGAAGGAAGGTGGAAGGATGTGGGGGAAAGACGGGCCTGTGTCGCTGAGCTCGTCCAGTGATCCCTTTGTGCTTCAGACAGAGCAGATTTAGTCCTTTCTCTTTATTTTAAGGTGCTCTGTGACCTTGGGAAGGTGAAGTCCTGTGCTTTGGAGCAAAAAAGACTTGCCATCCCCATCCCTGGAAATGTCCAAGGCCAGGTTGGAGCAACCTGGGATAGTGGAAGGTGTTGGAGTTGGAACTGATTGATCTTTAAGGTCCCTTCCAACCAAACCATCCTGGGATTCTATGATGGTGTTCCATAGGAAGACGTTTCCATCAGAAACCTGATGTTTCTCTGCTGAATAAAAGCAAGAGTTGATGCTATTTTTAGGAAGGAATGTTTTCCATGGAGAGTGCTCAGGCATTGGAATGGGCTGCCCAGGGAAGGGGTGGAGTCACCATCCCTGGAGGTGTTTGGGATGAGACTGGATGTGGCATCAGTGCCACGGGCTGGGAACCAGGGCGAGGTTGGAGCAACAGTTGGACTGGATGATCTCAGAGGGCTTTTCCCACCCGGCCGATTCCGCGATCCTGCGATTCCGCAGGAATAAAGGTCTGGAGCATTTACCGAGGCGGTTTTCTCCTTCGCTTGCTTTGCAGGCAGTACTATGAGATGCTCTACAACACGGCAGACGAGCTGCTGAACCTGGTGGTGGATCAGGGGGTGAAGTACACGGAGCTGGAATACATCTACGCCCTCAACCTGCTGCACCGCAGCCAGACGGGCGTGGGCGACCAGACCACGCAGAACATGAGGCTGCAGCGGCTCAAGGAGATCATCTGTGAGCAGGCTGCCATCAAACAGGCCACCAAGGACAAGAAGATCACCACAGTGTGACCCACCCTTCCCCTCACACCCATGGGAGAGCCAGGACTGGCAGGTGGCAGGTCCAGGCCTCTGTCTGTGTGCTGGTGGGGAGGGAAATGCCACCTGGGATTTGGGGTTGGGGGTGTTTTTTGGGGGGGTTCTGATGTGTGTTCATCATCATGCTTCTTCACGTGTTCTCCCATGGCAGGACCAGGAATCCTGGTGGAGTTTGGGGTGGGATAATTGGCTTTGCTCTGCTCCTGCTGCTTCGCTTTGGGGAGTGTAAAACAAGCTGCTGTCTCTGGTGGGGTGGGCAAAGAGAAGATCTCACGCTGGGTCGGGTCAGGGAGTTCAGACCACGCTAAATAAACAGCACCATAACAGTCAAGCACAGTCCTGTGGGGATCTTGATGGTTTTGAGCCCTGTTTTGGGGCCTGCTCAGCTCTGCCGCGAGTTCTCCACGAGAGTTTTCTCCACGTGAAAAGTGGAGAAGCTCCACATGAAGTTTTCTGCTGTTCCCACTGCAAAGAGACCTCGTTGTTTACTCCTTCAGCTGATACATCCTTCAACCAGTTCTCAGTGTGGGAGGGAACACGGGACCATTTGTTTCCCACTTGTACTTTTCCATTATCCCGGAGCCATCTGGCACCGGGCGACGGCGGCTGCAGGAGAGAATTGCCAACATAAGATAATAACAGAGCTTAATTCTCTTGTTCCCAGTGTATCTTTGGAGCCTGCCCAGCTCCAAAGGCGTTTTGTCGTTGTCATTTGATGTTCTGGAAGGACACACGGGGTGATGTGGCTCAGCACTGATGATCAGCAAGGGCAGGAGGGCAGATCCAAGCTCTGTGGGCTGAGGGACACTCAGGTCACCGTTCCTGCTCTGTCTTGACCATAGTCTTCAAAAATAAGGTCACACTCCACTTGTATTCGGCAAATAAATTGTTGACCCAGCTGGGTTTCACTTGCTGAGAAAGGTTCTCCCTGAGCTGTGTAACTTGGGTGTCCTGAAACTGCAAAATTAAAGGATGTTTAAAGACTCTTCAAAGGCTCCTCTGCTCTGTCTGGGGGTTTTTTTGTAACAACTGTGGGTTTGTGGTGATTAAAATGTTCCTTTCCAGGTCCGAATTCACGATGTTCTCCAAGGTTCCATCGGCATGGAAATGATCCAAATCATTCAGTCCAGTCCTCAAGAAGCTTCTCAACATCCATGAATTCAGGCTGAGCTCCTGTGGCCTCATGTCAGATGTTTTATTCCTCAGTTCAGACTGAGCTCCTGTGGTCTAATTCAAACTGGGTTTTATTCCTGAATTCAGACTGAGCTTCTGTGGCCTAATGTTGGACTGGGTTTTATTCCCGAATTCACACTGGGTTTTATTCCTGAATTCAGACTGAGCTGCTGTGGCCTAATTCAAACTGGGTTTTATTCCTGAATTCAGTCTGGGTTTTATTCCTGAATTCAGACTGAGCTTCTGTGGCCTCATGTCCGACTGGGTTTTATTCCTAAATTCAGACTGGGTTTTATTCCTGAATTCAGACTGAGTTGCTGTGGCCTAATTCAAACTGGGTTTTATTCCTGAATTCAGTCTGGGTTTTATTCCTGAATTCAGACTGAGCTTCTGTGGCCTCATGTCAGACTGGGTTTTATTCCTAAATTCAGACTGGGTTTTATTCCTGAATTCAGACTGAGCTGCTGTGGCCTAGTTCAAACTGGGTTTTATTCCTAAATTCAGACTGGGTTTTATTCCTGAATACAGACTGAGTTGCTGCTGTGGCCTCATGTCCGACTGGGTTTTACTCCTAAATTCAGACTGGGTTTTACTCCTGAATTCAGACTGAGCTGCTGTGGCCTAATTCAGACTGGGTTTTATTTATTTTATGAGGGGAAAATTCCCTCGCAAAGGGTCTGGGCTGTGTGTCGGTGTTTGTTTCAAATCTAACAGGAGAGGGAGTGGGGGTGGGAAGGAACATTTTGGGAACATTCCTGCTCCTGAAGCTGTTGCTGTGGGCAGAGCCAAGCTGTTCCTGTTCATAGTAAACAACTCCTCGGACACCCCGCTGCTGATCCGCTCCCAGTGTCCACATCCCCCCCTAAACATCCATCTGGAGCCACTCTTGGGGGCCTTCTTGAAGAAGAAGGTGGTGCTGACACACCAGAGGTTCTGAGGAGGTGTTTGGAAAGTCCCCTGAGAGCACAATGTGTCCCCCAGGTGCCTGTGTGATCCTGTTCTCTCCACACAGCAGCCACCACCCTTTTTGGGTCTCATGGATGTCCGTCATGTCCCTCATGGGACACATTTGGCAGGCTCTGGCTGTCCTGGATTTGTCAGTTCTTACGGGTGGAACAGAAGCACAAGTGTCCTGAGAGCACCAACCCTTGGGAAACTTTCTGCCACTGCCCTGCCAACATTTGCTTTTCCTTTCCTCAGCACTTTGTTGCCTGGGAACTATTTCCCCATCCCAACCTGTGGAACTCGGTCACACAGATGGGGGATTTAGAACACATTCCCAGTGGAGGATGGTTTTCCAGAGGGAACAAACCACATGAAGTTGTTGCAAACTCTGCACTGACCCAAGAACCCCCTTTGTCTTGGATCTGAGCTGTGCAGAGCACGACACACCCCACTTCTGTCCTGAAGGAGGGACCAATCCTCAGTGTGGGACCTTCCTACAAGACCACAGAGAACATTTCTGGTTCTACCTCCAGCTCTGGGAACAACAACAGGAGGACGTGGAGCTGCTGGAGAGAGTCCAGAGGAGGCCCTGGAGCTGCTCCCAGGGCTGGATCCCTCTGCTCTGGAGCCAGGCTGGGAGAGCTGGGGGGGATTCCTCTGGAGAACAGAAGGCTCCAGGGAGAGCTGAGAGCCCCTTCCAGGGTCTAAAGGGGCTCCAGGAGAGCTGGAGAGGGACTGGGGACAAGGCCTGGAGGGACAGGACACAGGGAATGGCTTCCCAGTGCCAGAGGGCAGGGTTAGATGGGATATTGGGAAGGAATTGCTGGCTGGGAGGGTGGGGAGGGGCTGGAATGGAATTCCCAGAGCAGCTGTGGCTGCCCCTGGATCCCTGGGAGTGTCCAAGGCCAGGTTGGATGGGGCTTGGAGCAACCTCGGATGGTGGAAGGTGTCCCTGCCCATGGCAGGGGAGTTGGAACAAGATGGTCTTGAAGGTCCCTTCCAACCCAAATCATTCCATGATTCCACGATTTTATTCCCTGCACAAGTTCTTGCCTAGGAGTGCTTTTGCTGTCCTGACATGACCCTGCAGGACGTCCCGGAGATTTTGGGTCGTAAATCCATGTGAAACACTTGTCGCCGTGCCAAGGCTCAGAGAGCAGTCATGACATGGAAGTGCTCCCTTGGTGCTTCAAGAGACAAGGAAACACTTCTCCACCCCACAAACCGGAATATTTTCATGGGGGGCTGTAAAAGTTCATGAGGGTTTCCCAATTTCCCCTTTACAGCCTCATAATCTTTATGGGGTTTTAATTATCCCGTGGTTTTGAAGCCTCCAGAAGTGGAAGGTGAAGCAAATTGCTGTGATTCCTTTCATGATTGAGTGTCAGTCACCAGCTCATCCTCTCCTGGGAGTCTCCTCCCTCCATATCCTCTGGATTAAGGATGATATAAACCTGCCTGACTGGCATGGATAGATAGAATAGATAGGGATGGATGGATGGATGGATGGAGGGATGGATGGATGGAGAAACCCTCCAGGGATATCATGGCGTGGATCCCCCCAGCCTCATCCTCTGCCCTCCATTCAGAGACAGCTCCACCTGGAACAGTTTCCTGAGCCTCTTTCTGCCTTTTGTTGGCTGTGTTTTATTTTATTCACGTGAGTCATAATTGCAAATCCCATTTGGAATGTGGTGATGGCAGTAAAGGGGAGGGCACTCAGACAGGGAGAGGTGCCAAGAGGAAATTAGCATTGCAGGAATGTCAATTCTACAGCTCACAGACAAGCTGGGAGCTTTTTTTGGGGAGGAAAAGGGTCATTTGATGGAGCTGAGACTTGGAGAAGTCACCCAAATGTCGATTCTGTTGCTCATAGACAAGCAGGGAGATTTTTGGGGTGAAAAGAGAATAATTTTACTGAGCTGAGATGTGGAAAAGTCACTCAAATGGCTACTTGTACTCTAATCCTTAGTCCTGGGGGTTAATTCCCGTTGGGGCACACAAGCCCTGTCCATCCCTGCAGACCCTGCAGGCCACAAAGCTGCCCGTGCTCGGATCTCAGGAATTTATTACCCAAGGATTCATCCCACCACAGTTGAAATTCCCGCAGGAATCCTATCCCAGTAGCAACTGGAGCTGTGTGTGGGCAGAGCAGGGGAGGTTCTGCCCTGAGGGGGTTTGTGCTCCAACATCCCTGAGGGATGAGAAACTCCAAAGGAAGGTGCAGGGAAGTCAAATATTGCTCTCCAGGCCCCCATCCCTGGTGTATTCACCCCATTCTTTCATTACAGGGCAAAACCACGTTGTCAATCCGAGCCGTGCCCCGCAGATCACGTTCGAGCTTTCGCATCGAACGGGGGGAAACGTGCTCAGAAATGAGGCCTTTTACTTCATTTTCCCTTCTTTCCTTTGCTGATTGGATCTAACAAAGTGAGCCAGGAGCAGGGGGGAAAAAAATAAAAAAATGAAGTGGCTGCAGCCAGCATGTAATCATTAAATTTGCTCTTGGATGACCCGTGTGAAAACCGTCAGCAGCGATTTATTGGGAAGTTCGTTGCACCGCTGTTCATTATTTACTCTGTTAAGCTCAGGCACGGCGGCAATCAGGGGAGAAAATTGGACTGTTAGGGCCTTGGACTTCGGTGTTTGCCATTTCCTCTGCTGAGCTGCAGCGTGAAATGTGTGTTTTTTGCACAGACAAATCCCCTCCTCGGGCTGCTGCAGCTCCTCTGAGGGCACCCGGGCACCATGGGAGAGGTGAAAACAGGGATAGGGGGAAGGAGGGAAAAACACGAAGCAGCCTGGATGCTGCCCCTGGTGTTGAGCGTTTCCAAAGGCCTGTGGTGGCTGAAATTAGTGTCGTGGTTGTTTTTCATGCCTCTGTCCCCCAGCTGAGGCAGAGCTGCTGCTCCTGCTCCTAAGTCCCCTCCATCACTGGGCTCTGACAAGCGCGGGGAGGCCAGGCCTAAGTTGAGTAGTACAGGGACTAAAGGGGGAGACCTGGGCCTAGGAAGGTCTGGGCACAGGCCTGGGGCAGTGCCCATCCCTGTGCTGGGCACTGGGGAGGCCTCCCCTGGAATCCTGGGGGCAGTTCTGGGCCCCTCCAGAGGGGCTGGAGCATGTGCAGGGAAGGGAAGGGAGCTGGGAAGGGGCTGGAGAATTCCTGGGGGGGCTCAACCTGGAGAAAAGAGGGATCAGGGGGGACCTTCTGGCTCTGCAAGTCCCTGACAGGAGGGGGGAACCGGGGGGGGTTCGGGCTCTGCTCCCAGGGAACAAGGGCCAGGAGGAGAGGGAATGGCCTCAAGCTGTGCCAGGGGAGGGTCAGGCTGGACATCAGGAGGAATTTTCTCATGGAAAGTGTGGTCAGGCCTTGGCAGGGGCTGCCCAGGGAGGTTTGGAGCCCCCATCTCTGGAGGTGCCCAAGGAAGGCCTGGCCGTGGCACTCAGTGCTCTGGGCTGGGGGACAAGGTGGGCATCAGGCACAGGGTGGGATCCATGGGCTGGGAGGTCTCTTCCAACCTCAGTGATCCTGGGATTCTGGGATTCTATGATTCTATGAACCAGGGAGAGTGGAAAGTGGTCTTTGTACTTTGAGGGTTTCACCTCAAACTGCTTATTTACCAACCTGCAACATTTCCACAACTTGAGTTCCCTGAATCCCGTTTGCCACCTTCCTAAGGGGACAACAGGACAGGACAGGAGGGAACAGCCTCAAGCTGCGCCACAGGAGGGTCAGGCTGGCCATGGGGAGGAATTTCTCCATGGAAAGGGTGGTCAGGCACTGGAAGGGGCTGCCCAGGGTGGGTGGTGGAGTCCCCACCCCTGGAGGGATTTTAAATCCCTGTGGATGTGGCACTTGGGGTGACCTCGTCGGCGCTGGGTTAACAGTTGGACTCCATGATCTTACAGGGCTTTTCCCAACCTAAACATCTCTGTGATGCCCCAAGCCCCTCTTGACCCCCTCATCCAAGGTTTTTAAGCCCCTTGCTTTGCTCCTGCAGGTGCTGTGACACACACACTCCTCCCACACAGCTCCCCAAGGAAAAGCTCAGGGAGCTTCAGCGAGAAACACGAGAAGATTCGGGGGAAAGGAGCAAACCCAACCCATTGGCTGCAGGATTTAAGGAGCTTGGATGTTCTCCCAGCAGGTTGAACACCAGGAACACAGCCCTGGGAATAAGCTGAAGGGAAGGTGTCAAATAAACTCTCACCTCTGCCCCACCACCATGAAAATTAGACACGCAGAGCTGGGTTAAATGTGATTTAAGCTTGATTTACACCTCATTTATCTTCCTCCTCAGGAGAACCAAGGCAGCATTTGGGGTTTCCCCTTCCTCCCCCCACCCAGCTGGGTCCTTTTATTGCTTCTTGGTGAGTTACCAAGTGAGTTTGTGTGGGAGTTTTACGGGAGCAGTGCCAGGGCTGCCCATAAATCTGCTTTGTACGAGGCACATATTCGGGAGCTGATTGTTTTTATAATTGAATAGTAAATCAATGTATTTAAGGCCAGTTTGCTGTTAACACTCCTCTGAGTATGAAATGCTCCCTCTGTCAATAGAGGGGAGGCTTTATTAGGATAATAAGTGCTTGATTTAGAGCCTCACTTCTGGATTTCAGGGTTGTTTTTAATGACCACTTTGGCGTTTGCTGTTCCAGAGCCAGGAGAATTTGGGGAACATTCCACGCCACGGCCAAGCACTGTTTGAAATGTGCCGTGAGACCAAACATTTGGGTAAACTTTTCACCCTCTGTGCCACATCAGCCCCTTCACCAATGACAAGAACAACAGATTAATGAGTTCATTAGTTCATTAATGAATTCCTTAGCACAGTTGGAGTCGCTTCTCACCTGCCTGTGCTGCTCCATCCCCTTCTTTAAGCTTTTACCTTGAGAAAGTGAGAGCAGTGGGGGCTCTTTTAGATGCATTTTTGGGGCTGAGTCCACCTCAAACCACTGAACTTCACTGATCCAAGCTGGCCATGGGGTGGGCTGCCCTTTCTCCCACCCTCTTGGATATCAGCCATCCTCCTCCTCCTGACTGAACGTTGGCCTAGAAGGTTTGTCCTTCCTTGGTGCATCCAGAAATCCTCCTTCTCCCAGGAAGAGCAGGAATGTGTCATGTGAGGCTGGGAATAACTGAGCTGGTGCTCATGAATCACTCAGAAGAGCAGCCTGGGCTGCTCTGAAAGTCCCTCGTGTGCAGGATTAGCTCTTTCCAGCTCCTCCAACATTCCTGGCCAACCTTGTTTTCCAGGAGTGACCGTAGGAACAAGAAATAAGAAAACCAAGGGGATATGGTGACATTTTGGGGGGTGTGAACCAAAATCTACTGGGAAATGGTGCCCATTAAGACCCTGGAGAAGCTGGGGCTAAAACTGGGAGCACGGGGGGTGGAAGACAAGGAAAGGGAGGTGCACAAATCACTTAGAAAGCTTAAAACCCAACATGGATCTTGGAGGGAGATGGACAGACAGATTTCAGCCCTTTGGGATGGCCTTGCTTAGGAGTTTATGGAGGAAAAAAAGCTCAATTTTCCATCCTTTCTGCCAAGGAAGAGAACATATCCCGGGTAATCCCTGGCTGGATGTGCTGTGCTGGACCACTGGAAGGAGGAGGTCCGAGGTGACGTTTCCCAACTATTTTCTGGGTCCCCCAAAATTCCCGTTGCCACAGAGGCCTTTTTTGTTTCTGCTTCTCTTTTTGACGGCCCCGTTCAGGAACAATCTGTCTCTGGCCCCAAATCCATAAGGCTGATTTCCTTCCAGTCGCCATCCCTGTTGGAGAGGGGTCTCCAAGGAGCCATTTCATCCCGGAGCGCGTCAGCCAAGCCAAACAGACGGGGTGGGGAGGGGAGGACAGGGAGGGAGGAAAAGTGCATTTCTGAGGTTTTAATAATCCCTTCTCCCGCCTGAATCCCAGTGGAAGGGCGGGCGTTTTCCAGATGGTAGCAAATAAACTCTGGGAAGCTTCCACGCTGAGAACTCATTAGCCCGGCTGGCCCCGCTCCAAGCTCCGTGGCAGTCCATGTAAACCTCAGTTGGAGCTGCCCTTTCCCTGTCATCTGTTCCCAGGAAACCTCCAGCCCTGTCTCACAAGGACAAGCTGCCCGGCGAGATGTTAATTTGATTACGGGCGTGGCCTTTGCCTCTCGGAGGGATCGGGAGCTCGGGGAAGCGTCTTCCCAAAAAACCTGCTGCGTGTGGATCCGAAGCTTCTCAGCTGCCTTCCCGACACCATGTGGAGCTGGGGAGCTGGGAGGTGTTTGTCTGGCTGCCCAGCTTGCAAAGGCACAGCACTGGACAGGAAAAAATGTATGTATTATATATTATATATATTATATGTCCGTTTGTGGGATTTAAGCCCAGCCACAACCTGGGCTGTGCCAGGTTATATCTGCTCTTGGTGGCTGTCACTGATGGCACGGCCTCCAGAGCAACCACGAGGGTCCAAGTCACCACCTTCTGCCCTGAGGCTCTGAGAACCACTCACTGGGTGACAGAAAAGCCACAGGAGCAGCACCAGGTCCTGCCGGGGTCCTCATCCCTGTGCGGCTGCAAGTTGTCAGGCTGTAGTGGTTTGAACCTTGTTCTCCCCAGAAGCTAAGAGAAGTGGTAGACCCCAAGGGGTGGAAACCCCTGGAAGTTTTGAAGTTCTGCCCAATGGGCGCTCCTGCAGAAATGTAAACATATCACAACCAGACCGGAAAAGAAGAGTTGTAGTTTGGTGGTTGTAGGAGAGGTGGCCATGTTGTAGAGCCACGAGGAAGGGGCTCTGAGCCCCTTGGGGCCTCTGGCCCCCTCCCAGCCCCTGGCTGGGGGCTGCAGGGACCTGGAACAGCATAAAGCTGGGCTAGGTGCCTGTAGTATGCCGGGAGATGTTTTCTCCATGGGCACAGAGCAGCAGCCGACGCTGACCAGAGAAACAGTGGCAGAGAGCCAGAGATAAGAACCTGAACTGAAGAAGCAGCAGAGCAACATGCAGCACTGCAGAGGAGACTCCTGGAAGGAGAGTCGAGGAAAGGAGAGCCAGCAGCTGAGAGCTACAGAGTTCTTGGGGGTAAGACTGATACCAGATCCCCAAAACTCCTTTGAGACCTCCTGGAAGGAGGAAGATGATGGACTCTTACTTGAAAGAGCCTTGAAGTGCGACATGCACTGTAGAAAGGAGCTAGAGAGCTCCGAGAGGAATGCAGGGGGAGTTGACCTTGGCTCTCCCCCCCTTGCACTGCTGCCACGGTGGCAGCCTGAGAGACAGGGCACAGAGGCCCTGCAAGGGGCTGAGTCCCCTGGAGATACCAGACCGTCACGAAGCCCCTGTGCTCGTGATATGACGTGGTGAAACGACCTTGTCTGGGGTTACGAAGACCACGGAAGACCCCTCGGTTGTGAGGCGATGGGGCCGGGGGAGCTTGAATACCTCCCTCGTGGACGCTGGCAGAAAGCCAGCTATCAGCTGCTGCATGAGATGAGAAGAAACCTGCTGCCTTAGAAGATGCTGCTGCTTAAGGACTGGAAGGGATCTGTCCTTCTTTCCCTCCTGGACTTTTATTTGGAGGGGAGAAGAGATCTGATCCATTGTAAATACATATGTCATGGTAGAGATAGTTGTGATCATGTGTATAATGTGATATGGTATTTATTTGTACAGTCATTGTAATATATTCCCTTTTCCCCACTTTGAGTCTGGTGTGTTTTGTCTGGAAAAACCCATCTCACATTAGGTTGAGATGTGGGAGGGGGAATGGAGCTAGAGAATTGGATGTTGGGGCTATCTCAAACCATGACACAGGCTCAGCCAAAGCTGTTATGTTGAATAAAGAGGGGTTTTTTCCTCTCTAAAACCTCACAGATTTTCCATATCACCAAGTTTTCCAGGCTGGCAGAGTTCTCAAACACCTCTGAAAAGCTCCAGCTAAAGGCAGACGTTTCCACAACTCCCCTGGGTGAAAAGCATCCTGTCTCCTGTGGGCTTGATCCAATCGCCCCTTGTTTTAAAATGTGGGAAGCAGAGTAAGGAAACCCCCCCATGGCACACTCAGGGGCGTGGTGGGGCCAGGCAGCACTTTTTGGGATGCCAGGATGGCACGTGGTGACCAACAGCCACATCCTGTGGTCCCAGGGAGCCCCAGCACTGGAGGGAAGCAGGGGATGGAGGATAACCCTGCAGCGAAGGGAGCGCAGGGTTCCCCTCAGAAAGTGGCTTTCTCTGTTTGCAGAAGGTGAAATCTGCTGACGGAGAGTACAAAACACGTGGATTTGGGAAGGAGAATATCCCAAATAACATGAAAGCTTGGAGCAGCCACAGCAGCACAGTGAGGAGCTGCCCTGGAGCAGCTCCCGCTTGGCTTTGTAGCTCTGCCGAGTCAGGAATTGTTCTCCTGGGTCACAACAAATCCCAAAACATACTCCCAGATAGGATCCCTCCTTCCCTTTCAGGATCTTCCGTCCTTCCCTGAGCTTCCCAACCTTTCTTTTTGCTGCCCATCCCTAAGTAGAATCCTGGACACGCAGCTGGAGAAGAGCCTTGTGTGCCCAGGCTGTGGGAGGAGGGACGGGGTGCTTAGTTAGGAATAAATCCCAGGAAGGGTTTTAACATTTATGGCCAGTGAGATAATGAAGGAAGGTCATCTGGGGGAGCTCGATTGCAGTTCCCATAATGTTTCCCTGAAGCACAGAGATAAAAGTCAATGGGTGATGTCCATTAGGGAGCTTTTATATCTTTTTGTTTGATTTTTTTTTCAGCAATAGCCACCTCATGGTGGCCCACGTTCATGGGCGTCACTTTGTGAGCACAGAGAAGGCAATTATGTGATGTTTAAACCCAGAATTACAGTACTCAAGGCTCACATGACTGTCACAACCCATACTGGAGATCCACTGTTCCCAACCTTAAATTGTTTTATCATATGGAGCAACTTCCTGGGTTTATCTCTGCATTTGGAGACATCCTGACCCATCTTCTCCTCCTCCCCTCCTTTATTTTCTGCCTTTACCTTCTCATTTTACCCCGTCCTGCAGGAGATGCTAGACTCAAAAACTCAAATACCTTTAGCATCTTTAGTTCAGACTTCTATTAAGAGCAGACGGATGTCTGCAAGATATATGTGATAAATAAAACCAGGATAACAGGCAAAAAGATCTCAAAAAGCTGTCATTTTACTTCTCTCCCTCTGTGACAGTCTCATCTCTTATTAATTCCCAAATATTTCCGTCAAAATGATTATATAGATTTTTTTTTCTCCCCCACCAGCTCTGAAATTGTACTTTTTTTCCTAAGGAAACACATTCCTTCCTCCTTTGAAAGCACCCCAGGCCCTCACTCCTGCAGATGGCTGTGATTCCCAGTATAAATGATGGATGGCACCAGTCCTCCCAGACAAAAAAAAAAATAGGAAAGCCAAGGTAATGGTGCCCTGGAAATTATTTGATTATCAAAGGACTTAATAATTGTCGTTGTTAAGGGTATAGAAATTCGGCAGAAAATACCCCCCTTTGATTTCCAGCTGATTCTCAGAGATCAGAATTAATTTCTGATTGTAAAATTATAAAATTAATTCAGCACTAGAAGTCTGGTCAGGTCCAAGAAGAAGTTGTGCAAGCACAAATAGCACGATTTATAATCTTATAAGTGTTAAAAAAACGTGTGGATGCGGCACTTGGGGATGTGGTTTAGTGGTGGCCCTGATGGTTATTGATTACTGGTTGGACTTAGTGATTTTGGGGGTCTTTTCCAACCTAAATGATTCTATAATTTTATGACACTGTAGGTAGGTCTGGCCGAGTTCAATAAAAACTTTTAGGACCCGGAGTCACAAATAATACAATTTATTGGAGCAACAGGAAAGCGGGTTCAGGATTGCCAGTGATTGATGATAAATTATAAATGCACTAATGACAGTGTACTGATAATATGTGTTTTGACAGAAAATATAGAAACAGAGATCTATTAGTGCTAAATATATAAATATAGCTATAAATTTAATGTTCCTGGGGCTGCTCCAGTGTGTTGGAGGCACAAAGCTCCCTTCAAGGAAGGAGGAGAGACATGGTGGTCAACGGATTAAAAAAAAAAGAGATGTTTTCCCCTTCAGATTTTTGCCCTGAAATCCCTATTTTATCCCATTTTTGGCCCTTCCCAATGGAATGGAACGATCACAGGTGGGATTTTGGTGACTGTGGTCATACATGGAGGGCGTCGTGTCCTCTCTTCATTTTAGTCCTTAGGGATTAAATTTAGATTTAAACCCCTCAAATATGACCCCTCGAAATATGAGGGTCTCAGTTACTTTATAGTTGACCAAAAATGTGGAATAAACACTTTGCTCACCCTGCAGGTATCGAGGTGGCAGTAAAGGCTCTGTGACCTTTTCCAGAGGGGCTTGGTGAGCATCTTTACCTCCTTAAAGTAACAAGGTCACTTTATATCTCTCTATATATTTCTATATTTATATATAAACAAGGTTTGGTTTATATATAGCTATATAAAATATATTATATTTTATGATATATGATATTTTATGACATATGATATATGATATTTTATATTTAATATAACAGTATTATAACTGCAATATAACTATAATATAAATATATAATATAAATATATAATATTGTATATGATATAAATAACTATTTCATACTGTAAAAATATTTTATATTTTTTATAAATATATAAATATATTTTATATTAGAAAATATCTATTTTTATATAATAAAAATAACTCATATTTTATACAAACATTATATATATTAAAAATATATTTTATATATATATATATATATAATGTGCATATATATATATAAAACCCCAAGGTTTGTTCTGCACTGTGAAGGGGAGAGGGGAGTGAGGCCAATGGCCGCCTCAGGGAGGCGGACTACAACTCCCAAGATGCTCCGCGGCCCGGCGGACACGGCGAGGCTGCGCCGTGCTCCGAACTACGACTCCCATGGTGCACCGCTGCACGCTCTGCGTTTCTATTGGCTGGTTGGGCGGTCGGTGCGCATCCCCTCAGGGGGAGCGACCCTTCCCCGTCTCCATGGCAACGAGACAGTAAACAAGATGGCGGCGCCCAGGCCTGAGTAGGGGCGGGACCGATAGCGCGGCTCCTCTGCCCCCTCTTTTCTTTATCACGGCTCATGGCGGGGGGCGAGGAGAACGGCCGAGAGGGCAACTGTGAGGAGCGTCCTACCCCTTCTCGTGAGCCGCCGGAGCAGCTCGCTCAGGGGCGCCCCGAGGAGCAGCCCCAGCTCAGCCCGCCTGGCCAGGAGGACCACGAGGAGGAGGAGGGCGAAGGGGAAGAGGAGTC